ATTTATTCAATGTTTTTTCATGCTACAGCACTTAGTGCTGTCATACTTTGCACAAATACTGTATGTGCCTGTCACTAATTATTTTATTTTACTTTTCAGAATGATTCCCAATACTACTTCAGAGCATTTACCAGATTCACACAACCAATTTTAACATGGCCTCTTCAGCACTTTGTCTTAAAATCTGGAAGGAAAACTATAAAGTAACTTACTTTGTTCCTGCTATACATTAAATAAAATTGATGTTGGTAGAAAATATCAGTTTAGCCCCAAACAAATTCCTGCCTGTTGGGGCTAAAATGAAACTCTAAGTACCTTAATAGGGTTAAGGTACTTACATAACACAATAGTTAAATATATGAAAAAGAGCTAATATTATATATATGGAACATAATATAAAACATTAATTAGTTCAAACCAGGTCTGAACTATACAATATATTGACTTTTAACACACTGTCACCCAAAGCAATATAATATTGAACAAGAATTGATATAACACTCACCTACAAGTGTGAACATATCTGAAAGCATGCTAGCTTTAATTTTCAGATCCAAAGGAGCATCACTAGCAGTATGGAATAAGAAGATAAATAAGACCAACTGATTAATCACTTTAATATGCATCTTTGAGGAAAATTTAATCAAGTTGTACAAGTCCTATCATTCTAAGCATGGAAAGTCCCATTCCTGGAACTGCTAAATCAGCATTGCTGACAGAAGAAACTATTTCTTACAATATCTGTGGTAGAGCAAGAGTCCTCTCTGAAGAATTTGAGGTTTTCTGTGAGATTCTCCAAGATCCAGGGTATTTTTTTTAATGTTTGGGATCTTTCCGGTTTCATTCACTTATTCTTGAATATTGAGATAACCAAAACCAGATTCATCATTAAAAAAAACCTATAGATGAAAATTCTTAGAGAATTACTTTTAAATAAAATGGCACTGAAGGTCTTGTTATTTTATCCCTTCAACGTATTTTCGTGAAAGTGAATTTTCAATGCTTACTACAAGCAGAACCAAATATTAAAATGGGGTGAATATTATATTAATACTAAGACTTCTTTTCTTAAATCAATATTAATAATATTGAAAAATGAAGGAGAATATTTGTAGCTCAGGGTTGAAATGAGGGGTCCTTGGTTGCTTGTTTTCTTGCAGATATTTCATTACCCTAACTAGGTAACATTATCAGTGCTACCATGTTTCCCCGAAAATAAAAACTATCCCCAAAATAAACCCTAGCTTGATTTTTACGTGTGCGCCTAATATAAGCCCTACCCCCAAAATAAGCCCTAGTTAAGAGCCTGCGCAGCTGGCCACCTGCCCATTCCGTATGGTTGTTCACGGTGCCGCCTTTGAGGTGAGGCAGGTGGGGAAGGGGATGGAGCTGCCCCACACCCCCTTACCTCAGGGCCCCCGCAGCCAAGCCTCCCACTCCCTGACACCTGCCTTGCCTTGTGGCGGTGGCACCAACAGCCCTGACCAGCAGGAGCCTGCATGGCTGCCACCAACCCACTTCTTCAGCACCTGGCCACCGCAAGTGTCACCCCCGGCCTCCATTTTGCTAGCACAGGCCTTGAGGAAAGGCCTCTGCAGCTGAGAACGGAACCCCACGTTCATGTGCATGTCGCCCCAACCTCTGTTTCACCGGCAGAGGCCTTCAAGAGAGGCCTTTGCAGCTGAGAATGGAGCCCTGGGTTGGCTTCAGAGGCCTTTCCTACTTTACTATGCTGATTCCATGTGGTAGTAGCAGTCTATTTGCGATTTCTGAGATATTCTTGATGTATGGCAGTGTAATTCTTTTTAGGGTTTGTGTTGGTTGTGCTGTATTGGGTTGAGTGGTAAAGCAACCCAGAACAGCAGAAAAAGGAAATGGAGCATCTATACAACACATTCGAACAAAATGGATACCCACGCAACTTCATCAAAAAGTCCTTGACCACTCAACCCAAGGTCAACTTCAGACCAATAATCAAGTAAGCAATAGCCCAATCAAGAAACTGCCAAAGAGCCATTAGTAAACAGCCCAACCAAAGAATCCCTAAGACCGCCCCCACCCACCCAGACAGGCAAGATACCAGAATATAAACTGACAGCCAACAGCACTCCTTACTAGCACTGATGACATTACCTAGGTAGGGTAATGAAATGTCTGCAAGAAAACAAGAAATCCCAGGAAGCACCAAGGACCCCTTGAAAAAACAAGGCATCATGTGCAAGGTCACAGATCCGATTGAAAGTTATCTTATAAACTTCCATTCACAAAGAAATTAAACATTAATTATCTCAGATAAAAGACTTTACTGAATGCTGTCTTTTCCTTTTTAGAAAAAAGGAAGCTTTTCACTTTTCTAAGTTAATGAAATAGAAAAAGAAATGACATTTAGGACAATTTAGGGCAGAATACTATTTGGCATAGTGAATCCAATCTCTTTCCTCCTTTGAAAAATCCTTTTTTGCTTCGTCATCTGAATGAAACAAAACTCAGTATTTGTTTATTCAACCTGAGATGGTAGGAAAATAATCTTATCCAAGCCTCCCCCAACCCCGCCCCCACCCCGCCCACAATCTACAGTGGGTTATTGAGAAAGGGCCAAAATAATATGAACACTGTAGTTATCCTTAAACATCGACCTTTACCTACCCAATTATTTCTGCTCAATCCTGCCTCTTACCATTTTAGCCAAAAGGAGATATAGCAGGTAATAGAAGTGTACACAACACTTTGAATTTGAAGCAGCTGTTTCACATCAAAACATATTCTCCCAGACAAACTAGTAGTATTCAGAGAAAAAAAAGAATAGCCCTGTTTCAAACTAAGAATGCTTCTGATAAGGTCAGAACAACCATTTCAACCTCAATCCAGGGCATTTTAAATTCAGAAAGTTTTGTACATCTCTAATAGGTAATATCTTCTTGTGACCTGGTAGTTCAAAGACCAAAAACAAAATTTAAAAACATTCCTCCTTGCATACATAAGCCTCCTTCTATGTCTGATGCATAAAGCAAGAGAGTGAGTGTTACAGGCTAAATTATATCCATCAACTTGAGAAATAAAAAAAAAAATAATCAACAGGGTAGTCAATTCGCAAACTGATTCTTCCCTTCATCCAAACAAAGATCCACTTAAAAACATCCAAGAATATTTTCTGCCCCCAAAGGAAACAAATTCAGAAGAAAATTACTTAGTGGCAATCATTCCATAACAGTTCCCTTACCAGGCCAGGGAAGGGGACAGATTCACCTCCAGCAGCCAAGGCTTGAGAGTAGAATCAATGAGAACATCAAAACCATAAAGCTCTGAAACAAAGCACAAAATATATCAGATGATAGCATAGCGGCGTTTCTAAACAAGGCTAAAACATGGATTTATATGATCGGTTTATCCTATGAACAATGTGATAAGGTTTGCTAACTTTCAAGAGTTGCCACTATTATTACTTCAGTTCTAACTGGATTTCTAATTTGTCTCATGGTTTGAAGTCAAGGCCCTGATAAGTATTTTTCTTACCTCTTTGTGGATCATTAATACTGGTTTTAAAACTTTACTTATGAGACTGGCACTGGTTTACATTTAGGTAATATTTATGTACGTAAGTGTATATATACATTTGCTCCAAAAAGTCATCTTACTTTACTCAAATTGTTTTTGTGTTTTACAAGTGCCCCTGAGAACATGCAGTACATTTGTCCTGTTTCCATGACAGATATAAGACCCAATTTTCTCACTATACATATTAAACACATTATACTAGAAACTTCACTAAACACAGTTAAGGAATCTCCCAAAACTTTACATCAAAATATTTTCTAGAGGAAAAATAATAAAATTAAAGATTCTTTTTTCCCCAAAGTAAATAAATATTTGAAAGTGTATATTTTTTCAACAGGAATACCCAGGTCACTCAAACTTTATTCAAAAGAAAACAGCCATTAGATTTTACTTCTTAGACAATATCTTGGCAGCTGTTGCTATGGATTAAAAGACATCATTCCAATCAAGTGGGAAAAAATGAAGTAATCAGACCACACAAACAAAATTTATGTCTGTATTACCGAGCCACCACATGTCAGAAATGACTACTTTGCAGTGCACACCCTGTCAAAATGAAAGCTGAATCTAAATTATATGCATACTATCAAGTGAAAACTAGGGAGAATTCTCAGTAAAAGATTAAGTAGCAAGAATAAATACAAAAACAGATAAGAAAACAAAAACTGTCCATAAGCAAGGAAAAGGGAAATACAAAAATTAAGCCTGTGATGTGATTTAGCCAGTTCATCACACAGTTGTTTCAATCTTTAAATTATTGGTTTTTAACAAGTTTTTTTTGGGGGGGGGGGAAACTAAGGTACAACTGGTCACACATACTTCTGGAAAGGGGGCAAGGAAATAGACCAAAAGTGATGTCTCCAGTGGTGGGATTTAAATATGTGAACAATCGGTTCTCTGTGTGGATGTCGCTTCAGGAAGTCCATTCTGGGCCTGGGCAACAAAAAATTAGCTACCGGTTCTGCCAAAGTGATGCGAACCGGCTGAATCCCACCACTGAATGTCTCCAATATATGTGTTGAGTTAAGGGAGAGAATGAGAGCAGAAAAGTTCCTGGAGGTAATTCGCTATCTTTCCCAGCCTTACAATTTCTCTCCCTCCACCCCCAACCTCAATCTAAAAATAAAATTTAATAATTTTGCCACCAATGTAGTACAACTGTGAGAAGGGTTTCCTATTCCCATTACAAACTGGACATAGGGGCACCTCTTCTATTGCTTCTTATCAGAGATAGATTTCATAATGTCAACTCTTCCACTATCCCTCCTTTGCAATAGGATCGGAGAAACAGATTGCTTTAAGAAGGACAGTTATCTGGGATGGGTCTATCCTATGACAATTCGCCGTGGCCAACTTGCCATGGCCAGCTCACCACAGCGAACTAGCCACAGTCAACTTTCCATGGTCAACTTACTGCAGCCAATTGTCCATGGGACAACTCAATATGGCCAACTCGCAACAGGACAACTTGCTGCAGGACAAGAGTTACTCCAATATCAAAAAAAATATGGTGGAATAGAATCATTGTAGAAGGGATGCAAAAATAGTGACAAAATGAAATGTGAATGCCAACAATTAAAATATTTTTTTATTTAATTTAAATAAATTGAATTGTTAAATTACTCTATAGCAAGTTGTCCAACAGCGAGTTGGCCATGGCAAGTTATCCCGCAATGAGTTGGCTGTGGTGAGTTTACCATGGCAAGTTGGCTGTGGCAAGTTGTCCTGCAATGAGTTGGCCACGGTAAGTTGACTATGACAAGTTGACCACAGCGAGTTTGCCCATTCTGATCTGGGAAACAAGCTATACTAAGTTTGCAGCTCATAGTGCAAATTGTGCAGAGAAAATTGTATGAAATGAATAATCTCTTAGATTTTCAAATGTCTATTTCATCTTTATAGCCTTTTTTCAGTTTAACGTAAGTTAAGAAATTAGTAAAAGATAGCTCCTTCTCCCAGATCTTTATATCCAGAAATACTTAATGAAAGTCTCTTTCCCAATAACAACACAGTTAGATATTTTGGTTAGCTCTAGTAATCTCATATATATAAAAGCAGAGTAAGAGAAATAAGTGTCAAGTTTTCACGATATTTGTATAGCAATACTAAAGACCAAACTTGAGAATATTCAGAAAAGGAAAGCATAATCTCATAACTGATTATTTTAAATCAGGGGTGTCAAACTGCCGGCCCGCGGACCGGGCGTATCATCCGGAAGCCACGCCCACCTCACTGCCGGCAATGGCAAAACCATCCCAATACGTTGCGCGACGTCGCGAGTTTGACATGTCTGTTTTAAATGGACTTAATCTAAGCGCTAACACCAAATATTAAGTAGAAAGACTAAAAGCAATATGATACAAATTGATCCTTCAGTCACATTTTTTATAAATGGGGAATCAGGATGGAGAAAAAGAAGAAATGGGTTCCGATTAAACCTCCCAAAGTTCTCAGTGGCAACTTTCGCTTATCTTTCAAAAACATTTTAACATTCTATTCCTGATCTACTAGAAACAAGGGCCAAACCATAAACTGGGAGTTCACAACTTTTGGGGGGTTAAGTGCACATCTGGAATTTTGAAAGTATATTACTTTTACTTTCATAAAATGGGAGATCTGATACAAATTACTAAGGAAAAAAATCCAATTATCAGAAGCTAGATTGGTAGAATATCATTTCCAACATCCTTTCTAGTTTCACAGGATACTCTCCACTAATTCATCTTATTGTTTTTTGTTTTTGTTTTCTGAGATGATAGAGACATTTGAAGGGGGAGCTTTAGGTCCCTGCCATTCTAAACTCTAAAAATGTTTTGGAGACCTAAGCCAGGCACAGAGGCATTGTTCGAAGTATCAATTATGTTTGCAGCATTCTAATTTCCCATTTTTCAACTGAAAATTTAAAAAGTGAAAATGAATAAAATGAATTTAAATTGGCAAGGAGTCTGGTAGAAAACTATGGATGGAAACATTGGCACCCACAAGAATACTGATGCCCCTGGTACCATGTTAAGGACCCAGGAGGGAAAAATTTTAAAGCACTTTACTGACAGATTCCTTCCTAAAGTCTTCCCATTAAAAGATACTCACAAAACAGTCTTCATCACTGAGGCTGAATCTCTTCACATATTCTCATCTGCCCAGGTTGACCTTTTTTTTTTTTGCCCTTTCACTAATATCATTTCTCCAGCAATAAAACAAATAGAAAGGAAGATGCTATGGAGCTTTCTGCTAAAGCCCTGAATTACAGAATCTAGCAAAACAACTACCATTTCCAAACCACAGGCAGATAGCTGTGTAACCATTCAATTCTTGTGCATGGAGAAACTAATCAATCCAAATCTCTATAGAGTTTTGGAGGAAAAGAGAAACAGGCAACCAATACAGACATGTAGAATTCCAAATAGGTTAATATAATTGGCTTAGCTACACAAATTACTTATTATCTCCTTGAATAAGATCTTGGATTTCAGCAAATGTTCAGGGATTATTGCAAGGAGTACAACCGAAAGTAGGTTGTCTGGTTTGCTACTTGGATGTTGATAGGCAGGTGCTCCTTTTTCAGTCCTCCCTGCCTCACCCTCCTTTTCCTCAGCATAATGTTTAGCATAGAATGCATAGGATGACTGAAAGCCAGAATCTTTGGACAAAGCCAAAATTAATCTCCCGCAGAAGAAGAATCTCTGATTTCCTGAGTTTAGCCAATTAAATGCTCAATTCCATATATTCAGGCTTCTCAGTATGTGTTCAGCTACCAAAACTTTGGAGAACTTATTATACCATACTAAAAATGACATTATTTGTCATGAGGAATACCATTTAAAAGTCAAACTGAATCTCGAATTTCTCTGCAAATGAGAGCTAAAAATGATTAATTGCTTCAATAACCTTCCTAGTGGTTTTTAGAGGAAACTGTGTTTTTAAGGGGAAACAATACCTTAGATTATCCCATTTACTCTTGTAGTTGGAGAGGAGTCTAGGACAACTCGCCACCGCCAACTCACCATGGCCAACTTGTCCCAGGACATTCACCATGGCTAACTCACTGCAGGACAACTCATGTCGGGACAATTCAACGCTGTATTAATCATTTCATTCAGTTAGTTCTATTATTGGTGACCATGTTTTCATCGAAATTATTTTAATTCTTGTTATATCTGGATTGACTCATTTTATTATTATTAGCCATGGTTCTATTGAGATTAATTTAACTTTTGTATTTGTTGAATTGTCCTGCAGTGAGTTGGCCGTGGCAAGTTGGCTGCGATGAGTTGTCCCATTCCACTGGAGAGAGAGAGAGAGAGAGAGAGAGGCAGTGAGGGAGCTTCAATGGTGTGATCATGGCACAAATTTGTAAACCTACCAATAAGTGAAACACAGGCACAATTAATTAGTATTCCAAAATTATCTGTTAAAAAGCAAGCAAACAAACCATAAGACAAATCATTCCACAGAATAACCAATAACATATTATGGTGGTAACACAATTCTGAAGTTAACCTGCCATGTGCTCTTTCAATTTGGTTAACAAATAACAACAAAGGGGTTAAAAATCTTATCAGAGTAATGTGTCAGTACTACAATATGCTTCCTTTATATTTATGGTCTTACCTACCCTAGAAAATTCTCTAGCCTACTCAAACACCTCAGCGCTTGTATTAAAACTTGACCCTGTGATGCAGCACTCTAATATAATTAATCCCACTCCAGATGTTTCTTTCAATGAATGCAAAGAAATGTAAGTGTA